ATACAAGCATGCTACTTCTTCAAAATAAGTAGAATGTTTGGCAGGGGAAGAAATAAGTTCTCCTGATCAACTTTTTTGCAGTGATTCAACTAATAGATAATGCTTTCCAGGTTCACTATATTTATGCTCTCACACATTTAGATAGAATTCTCCTTGTCCAATTATTTTCATCTTTTTTACTCATTCATCCCTGTACCAAACAACGACGATGTAGCAGATCCTTCTATTTACCTACTTATGGTTTGTCTACTCAAACGTTTACATGTTCGTTTATCCAGTTTGTAAATGCTGGGATATGAAATTCATGCCACTATCGAATAAAATCCTTTAACTTACGGAACCATCAAAGGTTTAATCCCAGTCTCCTATCAAGATCATATAATGAATGAGGAGAGGAAGTGGGAGAGCTCAACTATAAGAAACATAAAGTATAAGACGAAATGGAATTTGCACACGTTTTATTTTAAAACTCGGCACGTAACTACCCTCCTTGTTCGCATACGAGTGGTCTTGGGAGCTATCACCATCTTAGTAAGGGTACCAATCGATCGAGGCCTCGGATTGGACAATCGATAGACAAGGCGTGAGAACAGAAAGTGTAATCGATTGCTGAGTAGGATTTCACTCGAAGGGGATTGGATGAGCGTGCATGGACTCTGCGGCTATCCGATAGACGAGGTTTAAGCCTACATATTTGTATCAAAGTGAGTGATCTGAGACTTGACGTGTTAATTAGGCAACTAGAAGTGAGCGCCACCATTCAAGAACGCCTAGAGAAGAGCACAACGTTCAAAATCCAGCATTTGGGTATGTCCCCAAAGTGCTAGTAATTCCACGCTTTGCCATAATTTTGATTTTTGGAGATGGAATGGCATATAAACTCCTCAGTTTTTTAAAACGAGAATTCAATTATTACAGTTTGACTAAATGTTTTGTGTACTATTGCTTATGATACCGAAATTGTAAGCGCTCTTAATGTCTTAGGCCCACTCATCTATTCAAGCGCTTTGGAGCTTATTGATTCCTGCCCCACGTCCTTATGTGAGTACCGTCGACCTAACTGTTGCAAAGATCGATGCATACTCCAACTACGCAGCTCTGCACATCTTTAAGCAGCCGACAAATTAATTACCTTTAAGTCTTATTTTCTACTGTCTCTGCGTAAAGCTCGAATACGTGGCATTCGTCTCAAAGATTCTGTGACCTCTTCATCATGCTCCATGTGTCATCCAGTGTAAGCAATGGAGATAGTTGTGAGGACAACCTCTAGTTATCAAGTTCCAAGGGGTACTTTTAAAGCCCAAGATTCGTCAAATATTAGGCAATCTCTGCATTTTTAGCAATCCTAACCTAAGTGCAACTTTTTCTTAAAATATTGATGTATGGAAGGTGCGTAACCTCGACAATTTCAACTCCTCCGAACGCCTGTGACCCTGCGTAGGGCGGGCTGAAATGGCTGTGACTACAGAATGCTTCTTCCCTTAAACTCTATCGCTGTCGCCTAACTTTCTCACTCAGTTGAAATCGCATAACGGTATCCAAGATGATAGGAACTGGCAGTAGATTCCAAAAGGGGCGAGGATCTGAGCCAAAAAGAATGGAGATGACGCAAATCACCTCACCTCTAAGTTATTTTGCAGCTGTGTCTGTCTTTATGTGGATTAGCGAAGTTGACTACAATGATGGGTAGAACGGCTGTTTTTTGGACTCTAATGTCGTACAATGTGTTGACTTAAACGGAGAACGTTCGGCTCTTCATCCCCCAAACATCTCGTCCTCTGCAAAAGAGCGCTGAATGTCTAGATAGCGACCTGGATGTGTATCTGAACCAAAATAGCGTTATAACAATCATTTCGTATCGTCTGTAGTGAACTTGTCAGGTGCATGACCCTTAACTTCACCAAGAAATGGAGGTGAACACACTTGTCAAGATGACAAGCCTTGGTGACGCAGCTGACCTTGACTGTGTCGTCTCACAAGCCTCAGCCAATCAAAGGGGCCAAAGGGAGGCGCAAGGTTCAAAACCATTCGTTTTGAATGCTTTTGGGTGAGGAGTGGTCTTGTCAAGCTGCCGCTGAATATGCAGCAACAATTGAGGCAATCAAAAACTAGAATTTAATTCTTCACTACCTCACGTCAGTGTGACCTCAACTCAACAAAGTTGGAAGTCGTTATAGCAAGTGGCATTGCTGGTGTATTTAAAGCCTCCAAAAATATGAAACCAATTCTTAATTGCATAATTCTTTACCACTTCGCTGTGGAAGGAAGCAGTTCATAACCTGTCAATTGGGCTAAGATTTTGTCGATTTGGACTGTGGAGAGGTCTAGGAAGTTCTATAGGTATGACTTGCATAGCACGTGGACATCATAATGTTTGTCTTTATTAGAAGCTTTTTATCATAAGACACTAGAAATGGAATTTACACTTCGTGAAATGCGGTAAACTTTTAAAGTCGAGGCAATGAGGGCTTGCGTCACTTTTCTTTTGCACAAGAAATGGAACGCAGAGGAACACTCCTGTCGCCTCCTCACTGGTTTACCGCTCACGGTGGTGATAGAAGCGAGCAAAGTTATCGTTCCACATTGGATAAAATGAGCGACCTTGTTGGTTCAAGTTTGGATGTGAGGAACAAGACAAAAGGAGGATTTTGGAGAGTCGGTCTAATGCTCGAGAAAGGAAGGGCTGGTGCTACGTCGACCCACCGTCGTCTAAGGCGATTAGACGCTCCGCTATGCGGCACAGACTTTTGATCCAAAAGTGAGAAAACCAGAGAAAGGTTTTGTTGATCTTCTTTTTTTTCCAGCCTACCTGATAAAACTATTTTTCCTCACACTTAACACATCTATTCATCTGAAGTCCACTTTTGGTAAAAGGCCCCCGGAAGGTAAAACATGAGCCAACAAAATACTCTTTTTTGTTTTCCACGATTTGTAAATGCATGCCAAATGCATATTTTTTGTTTACCTCCGTAAAAAGGCTGTAGGCAAGTGATTCTACCCCCTCGGGCAGTGCAATGCTCTCTTTCATTCACCTATTTGGACCCATGTTTCAATCCCCCAATATGGCATTGCGCTCAGTGTCCCTTCACCTACGAACTTCACTTGCAGTGGGGTTTGGTGACTTTTACATTTTCCTAAAGCATCAATATGGAAGCCTTGCCAATTTGCCAATTTCTTTTCCGTTGCTGCTGTTGTACCATCTCTCAGTGATTGTATCTCCAATGACGCTTCTTACTGCTAGGAGCTGGATTATACATCACTCTCGTCTTCTTGTCATTGAGGAGAAATGAGTGACTTGAAGGAGGAAAGCAGCCTCTTTTTGATTGTATCAACAGATCGAGTTAAAATTAGTGATATTTGTCGATTCCCTTCCACTTCGAGAAAATGAACAAGAAGGTAATATAAATCTGAATCATTTTGTTTACCCTGTTATTTCTACCAGGTTGACAAGAAGGTGGTCTGTTTGTTTACATGACGATTGATCAGATGTTGGCATGACTGCAGCAATGCCTGATTTTAATATCACCTACACCTTTGACATTTAAATATGCTAACGAAATGTGCTACTTAAATGAGAGTGTAAGTAGTATGTGTCCATGCAAGATTTATCGGCAAAGCTAAGGAATTTGCTGTGCTCATGAAAAAGCAAAATTATTTACAATGAACTGAGGAGCAAGACAATTTTGGAGGCAAAAAATTTTGCACAAAATTATGCTTCCTCTTGCTACAACTCTAGAGATAGATCTTCCTCCAAACAAGTTAGCCTAATTTGGTTTTGTTAAGTGATTTACCTTCATGCTTCTGCTTGTCGTAAAAAAAACTACGAATAAATTAATTTCGTTCGTTCGTTTCATTGGCATTAATCCTCCACTCTCTCTCTCTCTCTCACCTCTTGTATGTTGTCATCTTCTCGTTCTTTTGGATCAAAAAAGTAGCATAGCAGAATTCGCCATCTTTTAGTACGTTTTTGTTTGTAAAAAATAACGCTTACTTCTTCAGACAAACACAGATGATACTTCTCTTGCACATCACTTGTCAGTTGGTTGTAGAGGCGCCGTTACCCTTTTTAACTCAACTGAATCACTTTCTACTTTTGGTTTAACCGTTTTACCAAAATCTCATACTACAATGAAAATGAATGCATCCTTCTCCATTCCTGAATCCACTTATTTTTAGGAAGGGAAGAAGTGGTGAGTGGTTGTGTCGCCTTCCAATTTACCTAATGGTACTGTTAATAGACTTAAGAGGCCACTTCACATCCCCGTTGCGATTGCACTCTTAGAAATGCTTACTTCTTAACAAAACGAAAGAGGCAAAAAAAGACGGTGAGTTATTTTTGACAATTAAGATCACAAAACTACGCCGATGAGGTGAAGGTGGGAAAGAGGGAGGGAGGACGAGTGTCTGGAAGAAAACGCTTCCGCCTAAGGCGTTGTCTCAAGGTCAAGTGAAATGAGTGTGTACAAAGTGTTTGGTTGCCCCTTTTTTTGGCCAAAGGCTCTCATGCCAAGCTAGGAGGATGGAAGTTGACACACAATAAGGTGAATTAAAGGGGCTATGAAAGACTGAAGGCCGAGTTTGGGAGGTGAATGGTCAATGCAGCCATGAGTTGGTTGTGTAGCCTTTGATGTCAGAGGAGTTAAACGTTCAGTAAGTCAATTGTAGACACAGCCGCAGTCTCCATCTTCTCACCTTTTACATCCTCTGAGGGTGCTGTGTCAAGGTGTTCACATTTCCTTCAAGGAAATACAAATTCTTTGTCTGAAAGGAGTTGAGCAAGTTTGACTGTCACGTGATTGTTTTGTATTGTCATTTCCTCTACACAGTGATAATATTTTGAAAGGCTGGAGAAGTGAGTAAAGTGTCTCTGCAATGTTCTTCCTTAGAGAGGCGACTCGCAATTTGCCCGAGCATTCACCACAGCTGGAGGTCGCACCTACGTTCACTGGCATCAGTATGTCGTGGGTTGGAGCCCCGTGGAGGTGGTGGGCTCCACCCCTTCAACAATGGCGTGGTCGTTCTCTATCTACCACCGCTCTCTTCAAACAAAGAAAGTAAGTATCTAATGTTGTAATCATAGCCCTCCGAAATCGTGCCCAATAGACCATGTAGATGAAGAAATTCATTGAGGAGTTCAGTAGATCACCAAGGAAGACAAGAGATGCTGTAACCTGTCGGTAGAAGTGGATTTTGCATTTGGTGCCAAAGCCACTGTATTTGAGTAGTCGAAAAGCGCCATTTGGAATAAAGGCTACAGTGAAGAGGGTGAAACAAATGACCACCACCATGATAGCTTGATGGGCTTTCTGATTGACATTTTTTATTCTACTTTGCTTAGTATCCACCTTGGAGATCATCTTTACTCTCCATGCTTGCAGACGGTTTGACTTCATGACGATGGTGGCTGAGAGGTAGGCGAGGAGGGGCACTGGGATGAGTGCCACAAAGATGACATCAAAAATAGTGTGAAGTGCAATTGCAATTTCACTGGCATTGCACCATTCAGGTCCCCAAATGTCAAAGATGTAGGCGAGGACGTAGGGAGTACGAATAGTTACACAGGTAATCACCACAACGGTCATTAGAATGTGAATGTGTTTGAGCTTCCATTGGGTTCGAAAGTACATTGGATGGCAAACAAGAAGGTACCTCTCGAATCCCAAACACACAATAATCCAGTTGCGTAAAAGTTGACCCAAATTAATGCCACTTCGAAGGACACCTAAGGAGATGTAGGAGCCAAGGTAAGTTCCATTTCTGTTGCCCACAATGAAAGGTGGATGGTGGATGATAGCCTCCAACGAAAGGTAAAACAAATCGATCAGAGAGCTGGCCACGAGGAGGTAATGTGTGGTAGGAACTGCTAGTCGATGTCGGAAGAAAATAAAGAGACAAATGAGACTTCCAAGGATTCCCACCGCAGAGATGGTAGAACCGACGTGCAGAATGATAATCTGTCGAACGCGTTTTTGTGTTGTGGTGGCCACAAACGCCCTCTCCTGATCTTCAGCCATGATTTTGGAGACGCATTGTAGTGGTGAGCCCAAATGCCCACAGACGATAACAACCTTATCGAGGGCGAGCATACTTCCATGTGAATGGACTTGGCCAGTTCTGACAGTGAGCATATAGGAGCAGCCGTCCCCTCTCACCTGATTGGCTGCTCGTTTACCCACGCCTTTTAAAATATCCAAATTGATGTTCGAAGACAGTACTACGCATTTACTGATTGGAAAGAGAGACTTTAATAGAAGGGGGGACTTAAGCGAACTAAAAGTTAGTCTTTTCATCCCCGCCCCTTAGAAGGACAACGTTTTAGGTGGTGGAAGATGTATTATGTTGGTCAGGAGCGTAGAGTTGTTCACAAACAGTGGTACACCTGGTCATCTGAATTTTGTAGACTAATCTGATGAAAGACAGCTTTATTGATCGAGTTCAGTGTTACAGCAATCAGCCTTCCTTCTATCAAGATGAATAGGATGAAGAGAACATCCAACCAAAGCACTCCATTGTGGTCTCAATGCAGAGCTGAAGGTGACAATGATGTTTGGGAGAAACAACTTTTCCACTTCCGTTCTGAGGGGAAGGCCGCACTGTCACCTCTCCTTATCCTCCTCATGCTCTCTTTTCTGTAACTGGTTGGAAGCATTTCCTCTAAAAGGTGGTAAGCAAGTGTTGTGCCAATAACTTCCAGGTACGTGAACTTTAAAAGCAAAAAACTGCCTTTCTGAATTTGTAGAGTAAAAGCATATGGATCCGTGGCTTAATCTAAATCACAATGCCTACCGAACAAATTCCTTCTTCTATTCTTCATGAGCGCAGTGAAATAGTCTGACCGTCCAGTTCCATTTCCCTTCCCTTTTTTTACTTTGTTTACTCCCTCTAGTCTGGTATTTCTTGCCTGCTTTGCAGAGTGAACTGCTGCAAAGCATTAGGTAAATTGGCAGCAGGAATAAAGAAGGTTAGCTTCTAAAATGGCAACGAATGACGTAATGTTCTAATTTGAGAATGATGGAGGAAGTGACTGTTTATGTGAGTTCCTTGAATGTGTTTGTCTACCCATTGGCAATGTTTGTCATTACCAATCCAGCACCACGACTGGCTCCATCAGTCTCAGCCCTTTTTGGAATGCTTAATCCCTGAGTTGGGATTAACGACAGTGGTCAAGGCTGCTAAAGCCTTTAGAAAATAACTTTTCATCAAGTTTACGGTTTATTTGGCTGCTGGTTTCCGCCAAGTAGCATGCGACTCTAGCAAAGATTTGCTAATCCCTACGCAATCTGAGAGCCATTTCCTACGCTTAAAAAACGGTCCACGGCAGACTTTGCAACTCTAAAGGGTGTCTGAGTAATAGTTATGCAGATCTTCATTCTATTCTGATTTACGATGACATTGACAGAGAATGAGAAAAAGAGAACAATATAGCTTATGGAGGTTAAACAACAACAGCTCTCTCGCAGACTAGATTAATGATGACTCAGGTGGAATTATGGTTTTGAGACAATTATCATTATTTGGAAAGCAAATCTCAATAGATAAGGGTGTAATATTTTGTTCATGCGGGAACCCTTGAGTCGCTATAAAAGAGTGCGTAATACTTTATATTTGACCGCTTGATGCCTGGCGATTACCGTTGGTTTGACCTGCACTTGCACTCGGGGACTGGCCATCGGGCTATGCCAATGTCCAATCACTTTTATTCTTCTAGAACACGTGTTTTTAGTGCAAAAATGCCTTAGATTTTGTGGAAAGTTTTAAGACGCTAGATGGGAATAAGTAATTCTTAGAGGTGATGGCAAGACATGGAAATGCGGTGCGTGAGGCAATATAATGCAATCAACATTTCTCAGCGAATTTTTATTTTCGCGGTCAGGTCACAACATATTATTAATGATTTAATAATTACATGATTTGGGACGAAAAAGTATTAAAACTTAAAATTTTATAAAAAAAGGTTTTGTCTAAGGCATATAATTTTAATGCACTTTTGGGAATGCAATTTCAGCCTAGAACATGTTTTAATTCACCAATTAGCGATCGATAACATAGTGCTTCCGGATATGGAAGCTTGGATAAGCCTACTGACTCTCGACAGTCAGACATCCTCTCAGGTCATTTCTGAAGAGAGTTTACGGGAAATTTCCAGTGGTCTGAAAAAGTGCGACGTTCTTTCAAAGGATTCTTACTCAATACTCGTGAACGCTTTGTCGGAAAAAGTAGCATGTTTCGAATCAAGGCCTATTCCCCATGATTTTTTCAACGTTCTCCGTTGCCTTTGTGAACACTTAATTAATCGTAAAGACATACTTCCGGAAGATGTGCGGAGCTTCTTTATGTCTTTTATTGAGGTACTTTTGTGTTATTCTTATCCCTTCTTATTCATGCAGACCACTTTAAAATCGTCTCCAGATGGTAAGTGCCTACTCGTTTTTCCACAGTTTAGCCTTGATTCCCATCTTTGAATGCATTCTGGATGTATTTCATCCTAAAATCATCGATCTGAATTGCAGTGTTTATGTTAAGTACCCGGTATGTTGACTTTGAAACCCACTGATACCATTCAGATACTTGCCGGAATCAATGAAATATCCGTCTTCTCTTCGGCCACGAAAGTCGAACTCTTTCTTAAACCAAGCATTCATGGAATATAGTGGGTTCTTCAATCCTTTATTTCAGTGCAATGTACTCCTAACCTTCTGTGCATATAGCTTAGCTTTCGCGAGCCAGATTTTTGCTTAATGACCTCATCAGGCCTGTATCACTAATGTCGCTATGCTGTGTCTTTGTTTTTTACTTTCCATTGGTCTCGCTGTCCCTCTTTGGTCTACCTTTAGACATCCCCTGTTATTGGTAGAATTGGGAGTTCATCGAGTTATGCTCTTCCCTCATTTCCTTCCATTCACGTTTATCTTGTACTTTCGAATCTTTAAATTCACTTTTCTCTTAAGCAATATATTTGTGTGCAAGCTGCTCCTTTCTGGCCTACTGCGGTACCAAACACAGAGATTAACGAAACCACTAGTTATAACGGGATAATTACTAATCATCACCTACGCATTGCTTGATGGGTAGGTTTCTGAATCTTCCATCCCTGATGGTTTCATCTTTAGTTCCATTCCAACTACGTCCTCGGAATGTCATATTTTGTCTTGTAATTCTTTCCAAAGCGAGTAGCCTCTATTGTTCTGGTGCGAATTATTTTTAGCTCTCCTGAAAATACTTACTTGCTTAAGGGCTGTTATTCGGTAAAATGACTTACTTGAACCTGTCAGCAGCCCATAGATGACA